TTTGAAAACATTCAAGATTGGCTTATAACAAGTCATCCTCATATTATATATAAAATAGGAAAAATGCATTCACATGTTGGCTCACTAGTGTGCTTTACTTATGCTATTGTTTTCACTCTCGAACTTTGTCTTTTCCTTTTTGTTTGCTCTAATATTGATATTGATCACAATCTACTCGGAAAATAATTACCCAACATAACAATTTTGATCTAACTAACTTACTAAACACATATTTGTACAATCTAAAAAATTACAATAAATAAATATTCAACACTAATTTCTATAACTAAATCAATTCTACTCAACTCTTGCAAAATAACCTTCCTAGCCCTTGAAAATAATAATTCTCAACTTTAAATCACTTAACTTTTCACAATTTAACATTTAACCCACAATTATGCATTTCTTCAAATTAAACCCCCATATTTTGAAACTTTTCAAATTGGTCCTTGCTATTCACTTTAATCCCTAACAATCATCATACTCGACCAATTTGACAATACTTCCAAATTAGTACATTAATATTGCACTTCTGCAATTTCACCACTAATTTTCCAAAAGGCCTACAATTTATTCCCTAGGAATTATTCAACTTCCAAATCAACCAAATTCAACATTATCATTCCAACTATAATTTCGAGCATATTACCTTAATTTTCAACATTTACTTGACAAACCTTCAATTTCTCAAAACTTGCAAAAAGGTCTTTTAAGCTTAACATTGATCCAAAACTTAATTCAAACATTATGAAATCATTATTCTATCTAATTCAAACCCAAAAAAAAATTTTATACAAATTTTCGTAATTTTTTCTCCATGGCCAATACTTTTGATATTCTCCCCTAATGGTCTCCAACTTTGATTCAAGCTTAATTTAATCACCTAGAACTCATTTCCATTCATTTTTAATCATTTCAATATAAAAAAAATCAAATTCAACAAATTTCCATAAGAATCATACATGGCCAAACATATTCAATAAAGTCCCCTATGATTTTTACTCCACTTTTAAACTTGTATATGATTACATAACAATCTTAAGATCAAAAGCTAACTTTATTTCATTGCTTTATCACTTCCCTTCATCCATCTTAAAAACCCACTTCACTCCTTATGCATGAAATCATGAAAAACTTATACCCAAAGAAAGAATTTAGTGGGGAACAATTTCTTATTTCACACTTTAGTCCTAATTCTAATTAAAATGGCTCAAAAATTGAAAACAAAGCTTGCTTACCTTTGTCTATGGAGTACACGGTTGATGGAGGAAGAAGAGAAGAGTTTTCTTGAAATTTATTCCAAAATATCTACTTAAAAAGCCATTAAAATGAATTTAAAATTCAATTTGGTCCAAAAGTCCAATTTACCATTAACGAATCCTAGTATTTATCCTCAGGCCATCCTTTTGTCTCCATTCTAATAACATTAAATAAATATAAAAATCACATTTACTAACTTCTATCTTTACCCTTCCAATTTTCCAAAATTTCAATTTAATCACTTAAATTCACTTTTCCAACTTTAACATGGAAAAAATCCACTTATTCATGTTAAATTCTACTGATTAAAAATATCATAATAATATTACTAACCTCATACTATCATCCTTCAAATTTTGTAAACTTTCGATTCGATCCAATTATCTGAATATTTTATCAAACTTTATCGCTTAATAGCCTTTTATACAAATTCCAGATAAAAACCTAAATTCCATAGAAGATCCATATTCAAGGATAAACTATTCATTTATGAAATTAAATTTGTTTTTGGGGAAAATTACTACTTTGGTCCCAAAATTTTTTCCCAGGTTTATACTTTGGCTACCAAACTTCTAAAAATTTAATTTTTGTCACTTGTCATAATTTTGAGGTATTACATTCTATATAACGCGAGGTTTGTTAAAAACTACTCGCGATAAATTGGTGGATGTTTCAGTTTCTCATGTACCTAGTGTGTCGGATAATGCAAGGTTGTTTAATTTAATATTAATTTGTATTATTTGAAATTGATGAAACGTTTCAGGTTCTCGTGTACCTCGTTTTTCGTATAATGTGAGATCGTTTAACCTAATATTAAATTATATTATCTGAAAAATGTTTCCACGTTGGAGGGTCTCGCGCCCGGTAGAACGCGATGCCTTTACACACGCTTTGTATGATGCGAGGAAATCCTACGTGTACAGTTTAGGAGTATTTTTCCAATTAGTGCCGTTCAGGGTTATTTTTCCAATAAATGAATTTTTGGGTGGTTTTTTTAACAAAAAAGTCAAAACTTTAAACAATGAAAAGCCAAAAGATGATTAAAGGATTACCCTAGAAAGCAACGCCACATGATTGGATACCTCAAATACAAGTGTCCATTGGGAGCCGCAGCTTTTTTGTTTTGTTTTAAACCCACTTTTTTTTCCTTTTATTTAAAAAACGAAATAGCAAAATTCTATTTTTATATTTCATTATTTATATCTATTTTACAATTTATTTTAATTTCGTAATTATAAATTCCAATAATATTATCATTAAAATTAAAATTATTTATTGAAAATATAAAGTATCTTATTATTTTATCCATAAATTATCTTATTTATTGAAAACCTTTTGTGATTGTGCCTTACACTTTCATGTTCTATCCTTTTCTCACGTTTTTTTACTCGTGTATGTTGAAAGTATGTCTCCAATTATTTTCAGTGACAAAAATATTTTTGAGACGTATATCAATAAAACAAAATTTTTATATGTGATAATTATCAATATATTTTTTAAGAGGAATAGAATTAATAAAATATGTAAATAAAAAATAAATTTTAGAGTGGATGGATACGTGCATGGGATCCACCACCGGCTAACAAGTTTAATATTATAATTTATATGTTTGGAAGGATTTTTCTCGTTTTAAAGAAAAAGAAAGTTTTCAGATTCAATTCAGTCCTTGAGTTATATCCCCCTTTTTACTTTGATGTGTTAGTTCTTTTTAATTCACTTTAGCACTTAAGCTATTATTCTATCATAATTTATGTGACAAATGATTTATTCATAACATGAATAAACAATTATATGGTCATTATTATTAGCTTGTATTGTCATTTTTAACAAATAAATAAATTTTTTAATAAATATTGAGACAAAAGCCATTGTTTAGGTATTATTATGGATAAAAAAATTGTTCAAGTACTAAAATTTAAAAGGATGTAAATTGAGGACTATATTGTAAATAAATCATAAATATAAAAACAAAAATGTTTATGGTTCCCACAGTCTTAGTTCCTACAATTTTATTTTCAATTTAAGTTTTTCTTTTTCCGGAAAATGGGTCCTACTTTTGGTCATGGCTCTTTTTATGAAGCTATTAGCAATGAAGGGCATGTGATGTGGGTCCATCCATGTCTGCATCAAAAGCTAGTCTTTTTCATCAACGGTCACAATCAACTTAAAGAATTGGATCAAAGCTGGAAAACTTTAGGAAACAGGAATGGTGCGTTTAATAAAGATTTATAATCATAAAAATAAAATAAATATATATATTCTTATAATATTGATACAAGAAATTAGTCCTCTCATATCATATAAGGGGTGATTGGATCATGAAATTCAAGATTCTTAGTGAAATTTTTTTTCCAGATTTAAATTCTCATGATTGGATGAAAAATATGCCCAATAGAGAGTAATAATATATTTCAAACAGTAAAAAAATTTCACTTTTTACCGGAAATGTTAATCTCTTGTTTTTCTTAGGTATTCTTGTATTCCCTGGGCTAAAATACTCTTTTTCCGTTTGCCTCTGTCATATTTTCTTCTCCCAAACGTTTTTTGCTATTGAACTCCACGGCACAGATTGGAGGAGTATCCGATTCTCGATAAAAAATTTACCCTTTGCTCTTCTTACTCACTTCATATGCTTTCAGGTTACTCATTTTCGTTCAATCTTTACTTATCTTTATTCCTTTTTGATTTGGGCGTTTGTGTTTTATTGGATTCCTGTTGAATCCATGTTTTTTTAATTTGATTTTTGGGTTTAAATAACAGTTAATAGAATTGAAATTTTCAAGTAATCTGTTCTTTTTTTTGGTTGCAAACGAATCTTAAGTTTTAGTATTGAAATTCTCAGCTCTTGGATTGAAATCTGCATCAGTGGGTAGGGTAGTGTAGTTGTTAGCTGCTTTCGTCATACAAGGTTTGCTCATAGAATGATTTTCCTGGTAATAGCAGTTGAAGTCCACCGCTTATAGTGTTTGTGTTTGAATTTCGGAAAATCTAGGTAGTTTTAGCTGCACTTGTTGACGGATGATTTTTCTTACTGGTAAACATTAGTTCTATTCACTCTTCTTTTTATCGGAAAAAATAGACCATTTATCAGATCTCAACTCATTTTAGTTTCTGATTTTCATTCAATTCTATTCGTGTCATATACTATATGTAATTGCAAACTCGTTGGGTGTCAATCCCATTTTCATATCAGTTTTGATTTTCTTCAGAGTTGTTGAATTTATTTATTTTTATTGTAAACAAAAGAATTGGATCATTGCAGAATTATTGGGCTTCTTTTCATTTTTCATTATAAATCTTCCATTTCGTTGTTGCAGAATTATTAACATTTGGGTTCATAGCACAGAGCAGAGTAGATTGACACAGAGGTAGCAATTAGCTGGTAACGAAGGGTTTCCATCAGTCAGCTTTGCCTTTGTAGGATAATCAGAACAAACAATAAAGTAATAATACATGCAATCTTAATTAATAGTTGTGCTATTTGTTGTAATGGGGAAATTTATATTTGCTAGTTTGCTTCCATAAATCCAGTGTTGTAGGGTTTCCATTGATTGATTGCTTTCTGCTGGTCTCTTTTGGGGGTGCTTCTATGGCTTTTGCGGCACCGGATATTCCATCCAGGGTTTCAAAAAACGGTTCGCGACCACGATTTCGGCCGCGATATAGCGGTTTTGCCGCCGTCCGAGTTACCCGCGACGGCCGCAATAGCGTCCGCGACGACCGCAATAGCGCTCGCGACGGCCGCAATCACGGTAAATCCAAAATAACCGAAAATACGACCGTGACCGTGATTTGAAACCCTGATTCCATCTGCCGAACGACAACCAGGTTTGTGAATTTTATATGGTATACAAATTTTACTGTGTTTTAATATGCAAGTTGAATTCTTGTTTCGCAAATGTACTGGTTTGTTTCTGCACGGCTGTGGTTTATCGTTTATCATTATTGTCTTCTCTGTCTTACATTTTATGTGACTGCAGATGATCCTTTGTATCGTGAACTATGGCATGCCTGTGCTGGACCTCTTGTCACGCTTCCTCGCGTAGGGGAGCGTGTTTATTATTTCCCACAAGGTCACATGGAACAAGTATGTCTACATGAACTTTAATCTGATAACTTTTTTGTATTGATCATATTTCATAATTTAACAAGTGTTGGTTGAATTGGTTTGTGAACCTTTGCCGTAGTGTTCTTATTTTGAGTAATAATGGTTCTATATTGGTTAATACGGTTATGGTTCCTGCAAGCACTTGGTTCTTTCCTTTTTGGTTTTTTATGCAGAAGAAATCATCTGGTATTTATTGGGTCATGCTTTCTTTAAAACAAAATGGGTACGATTCATTTTGGTGAATCACTTTAGGCAATCAATAATTTGAAGGTTGTATGTTGTGTCATGAAACCTTATTAACTTATATTGTCATATATATTTGAGTATTGGTAACAATTCACTGATACAATGAATTACAAAATGTTTATGGCAATATATAATTTCCTTCATGTATGTATTTACAAGAATATTTATACGTCTCCGTGTCTGAATATTTACTGTCAAGGTAATGTTTGTTAAATATTCGAAGATTATTTAAAAGGCATTTGTTATTTAGTTTTTGCTAATAAAACTCTATCCTCTATAGTATCTATTGAAGACTTATGTCCCTTATGATATTAAGTTTTAGGTGTAGGTTTTATAACTTGACACAATGTTTGGTTTATTAATCTCGAGTATTTTTTTATTCTTTGTGTACAGCTTGAGGCATCAATGCATCAGGGGTCACAACACCAAATACCTTCATTCAATCTACCATCTAAAATACTTTGCAAAGTGGCTTCTGTTCAGCGTAAGGTAAGTTATTAATACTTCTTGGTTTTATATTATTTTGAGTTTTATTGATTCAACTCCTTGCGCTAAGTGACTTTTACCTTGAACTGCAGGTAAGTTATTAATACCTCGATCGTAAGGTAAGTTATCAGTACTGTTTGGTCGAACCCATTTCTTAATTTGTTTGTACTTATGGCACAATGCTAACAAACAATTCTTATGGCATGTCCTATATTTAATGATGGATTCTTCTATGTTTTCTCTGACTTCCATAACCATTTATTAGAATAACTGCTGTACTTTTCAGAAAGGAATAAGGTAATATGCAACACCATACTTAAACAAGAACACATCTGGTAGTCTTTCCTTTTTTCCTTTCACCAAGCATGCCCTAAATATGATTTGAGGTTTAAAAGAATCTTGCAACTTGCAACTTTTCAGACTCTACATCTCCTATATGGATCTGAAAACAGCAGTCATTCCAGTTTCCATTGTGTTCCTACTGTGATATTTTGCCGGACCGCATTGATGCTTCTGTGCCATTCAAATTGACCAAGATGTAGGAATTAAATTGAACACGTGATGAACTTAAATTGAATACATGATGAAATTTAGAAGTTAAAATATGAAGCTCGAAAAGTTCTTACTAGTAACATAATTTTACCAAATGAATACGTTCGTTAACATATAAACGAACATTAAATGAATATATTCGTAAGTACTATACGAACGAAAACTAACACCTTAAAAAAATAAGTGAACATAAATACCTTCAAAAATAAATAAATGATCACAAATACAACATTAAAAATTAAATGAATACAAATTAAACATAAATACTTATAAAAATAAATAAACAAATACAAATAAAATCCAATTCATTCAAACTTAATTTATTTACCCCAATAATTATGTATCAAAATTTTTATACATCACCTTCGTTTTTACTATTTACGCTTAAAAATCTAGTTTTTACTCCAAAAACTAATCCTTAACAGTGTCAATTCAAAAATTTAGTTTTCGCTACAACTTCTATTGTTAAATAGGACATCATTTTTACCCTACAAATAGTCCAAATAATTTGGAAATAAGTCAAATTTCAGACATGCTTATAATAATTCGGACATAGCCGAATTAGCAATCTTATGATCGATATCTTAGAATAATTCGGACATGGCCAAATTATCAGTCACTTAAAATTGTTTTAGAATTCTCTTTAGATACATGTAAGCTATTTCACTTGTCCTTTGTGTATGATCTGAAAGAAATTAACGGTCTAGTATGTTCAAAGTTTGGTCTCTGTCGGTTTTTGTATGTTCGGAGAGAAATTACCTGTTGGGAAACATGAATTATTAGGTTGCTTGCTTTTCGTAATCAAGAGTTAAGTACAAATCAGATTAGAACTGAGTATTAATAATTTTATTAAAATATTAACAAAGATAATGATGAATGACGGTGAAATATAAAATTATAGACAATATGATTTTTAGTGTTATATTTTCATACTTATTTGAATTATATTTTTGTAATATAAATTCATGAGATAAATAATAATGATAAAGTATGCAGAATTAAATATAAATATAAAAGATAAATAAATAAATTATTGTATATAGCAGATATAATAAATATTATATCTTAGATAACAAAAATAATTTAAATCTTTTTATTATTATGAATATCTATGAAGAATTTTTACAATGTAAACATTTAGTTAAATGTTGATGTAAATTTTTAATATATTTGTACATAAATTATGTAAAATTTAATATTAATTAAAATTAAAATAATACATGATATATTTAAATACTCAAGTAATATATTATCAACAAATAAAATTTTTATATAAATAATTTTTATTTAAATATTTAGAATTTCACTTGTTAAAAAATATAGAACAAGGACAATTTGGTAAAATATATATTCCAGTAATCTTTTATTCCTTCAACCAAACACTGTAATCCTACATTTCTGCCAAACCAACCAAACACAGTAATGTAACATTCCCAGTAATCCCATTCCCTGATAATCTTTTATTTCCACTAGTAATCTTACATTCTATAAACCAAACGCACCCTAAAGATCATAGAATTAAAAAGTATGGGTGGAACTTCATCGCCAATTATTTTTTAAGTATTAATTAATATTAAAAATATATATTTTTAAAAAATAAATAAAAAATAATTTTACCAACCCCTCAATTAAAAAAATATTTATAGAAAATAAAAAATATTTTAATTTCCGCTACAATAAATTTCTAATTTCATCCTTGATAAAAGGTTAAAAATTCATCCAAAAACTTAACCATAAGATAGATAAGAATAGAGTTGACTGCATCGACAATCAAACTACAACATTAGACAAAACAATTGAAAGATCACTGACAAATACAAAGCAGAAATGAGTGTCGTGAGAAAGCTATATCTGAATACAAATCACGTGTACAAATTCAATGCAGTATGCAAAATAGGAAAGACAAGTAAGATAACAAATACATTTTTATTTTGATCAGTCGAGATAATGTTTGATTAAACTCTAAATAGATTAAATAAAAATAATAATTAAATGATTAATGAAAGAGACCGAAAATACATCAAAAGATAAAGAAAAATGTATCAAACAAATAAAATCATTAAAATATTGAAAAATATTCGATATGAAAATTAAAAAAACAAAAAATATCAACAATCAACGAATAATACTAAAACTAGTGTCGTCATCTGTCAACTAAAAGAAAAAAACACGGAGTAAACGACGATGATTTGATTTTTAAATTTTAATATAAATTCTTTATTTTTATTGAAAAAGAAAGGTGTAAATGAATAATAATAATAATAATAATAATAATAATATTATTATTATTATTATTATTATTATTAACGTTCCTAAATCTCATTACCACATCATCGCACCAATGCACCCGATGTTATAAAGACGTTTCAATTATATCCATCGTCTTTTCCTTCAAAGAAATGGCCTATTAAATATTAAATATTTTTATTTTTATTATTTAAGTGATTATAAATGGTAGTAATTTTAATTAGGATAAATTACACTTTTTTTCGTTGAATTTTACTCTCTCTTTTATTTTATTTATTGCATTTTAAATTTTTTTCAATTTACTCATTAATTTTTATACATTAAATTTTTTTTAAGTCATTCAACCATCCATAATGGTAAGATTATATATTCAAATATGATGTGTAATATTTAAATAAAAATATTAATCACCCCTAGCCTCCCTCTCCCGCCACCTACCCCAGCCCACATCCTCCTCCTCCAACCACCATCGTCCCAATCAAGCTATCATAAACCCTCTAAATTGTATCATCACCATCACTCTCCCAATCGAAGTAGATGAGCTTGAGAGGGTTGGTTTCGAGTTCAGATAAACCAGATGAGCCACTTCCATGGGATCCAATTGAACCATCCTCTCTCTTATCTTCTTCTTCTTCAACAAAAACCTCTATTTTCCTATCTTTCAAAGCCCTCAAATTATTCTGTTTCTCACACCTCTTCCTCTTGGCTTCAAGTCTGCTCAAAGAATGTAACTCCTTCCTTCCTCTTCATTGTCTCAACAGGCGAAGAACACGTCCTAACAAGGGACCCACCACAAGTCACCACGGGAACACAAAGATGGAGAAGAAGAAGAAGGTTCATCGGTTGAGTTGATGATGAAATCGGATATTGAAGATGATCTGGTGAGCTTCTTGGCTCTTGGGTCAACCCTAAAATGATCATTAATTAAAAGTCCTAAGCTTAACTTCCATCTCTTCTTCACCATTTTCATCCCTTGGGAGATTCACCATTTGTATGGGTTTTTCTTTCCAATTTCCTCAGCTTTTGTTTCCATTAAAGAACAACGACTTCAGGGACATGGCTGCAAGTACTGCTCACAGCTGGAGTATCAAGAAACTTCTGAAACTTAGACCTACAACTCTTCCCATTTTGAATGCAGGTACTAAATATACTAAAGACATTTGGGAAACAGTCAGAGAAAGAAAAAGTAAGGTTTCTTGGCATAAAATGATATGGCTCCCTTATCATATTCTTAAGTTTAGTACGATAGTTTGGATGGCCATCTTAGACATACTCCCAACTCGGGAAAGACTGTTAAGAATGAGAATTGTCACTAATGGTCAATGAATTCTATGCAGTGAGACTCTTGAAACTATGAACTATTTATTTGCAGATTGTAGCTTTGCTAAATCATTGTGGAATTATATCTTAAATCTCTCTCATTTGCGAAAACCCCACATGTCTTGGGAAGTTATGATTGAATGGACTTGTGATGTATGGAGGGGCAAATATCTCATCTCTACCTTATTGAAAATTGCTTGGACTTCCTACATATATTCGATTTGGGAGGAGAGAAACAGAAGAATCTTTCAACGAAGATCTAGAGAAGCTGATCAAATTCTGTCAACCATCAAGGAAATAGTCCAGATCCAGTTTAGAGGCAAAAACATCAATAGAAATGATAATGTTAACTTTAATTTTTGCTGTTATTGGGGTACAAACTGTAACCCCCCAGACCGATGCGGGTAACCCGATCCGATCTGGGTTGTCACATTAGGGCCACCGGAGCGACCCACTAAAAAAATAGCAGAAAATTTAAAAATTTTAATCAGAACATGTAAACTTATAAAATCATTTATTAGTATGCAGAAATAAAACAGATTTTCAGACTCATATATAAACCAAAATATAATTACATGCCCCCTAATCACAAGTACCATACTCTGCAACCAACGTCAGAGGGATTCCTTTACTGAAGTCGATAACTGCACTGGTACAATTCCTTTAACCTGAAAAGGTGAGTAACAGAGTGAGCTTTGGAAAGCTCAGTAATACAGAACTACCAGATGATGCTGAAGAACGTGCAGATACATATAAACATATATTTCCTTATTGGTTCAGATATCTATAGATTTTTAGGCTGAGCTGAGGTCCATTGATATCGCAGGTAGTAACAGATAGTATTCAGTTCAGATGGAAATATTTCGGATGTCAAGG